CGTCTTGTACTACTGGTGTGACACTGTAGGATCAGCACTGGACTGTGAACCACAAGGTTGGCAGTTCAAACCCACCATCTGCTCCTCAGAAACCCTATACAAGGTTGCTATGAGTCAGAATCACCGCTCGTCTGTCAGTTAGTTGTACTGGGGTGACTTGTGTGCTGTTGTGATGCTGGAAGCTGTGCTACCAGTATTGTAATTACCAGCAGGGTCAGCCATGGGGGACAGATTGCAGCTGAGCTTCCAGACAAAGACAGACTGGGAAGAAGGAGAGGCAGACAACTTCTGAATGTTTAGCTACTAAAAACCTATGAACAATAGTGCAGCATTGTCAGATCTAGTGCCGGAAAATTAAAACATGATGAATAGCACCACAACATTGTCAGGTATAGTGTTGGAAGATGAGGCCCTCAATTAGAAAACACTCAGATTACGACTGGGGAAGAGCTACCTCCTCAAAGTAGAGCTGAAGTAAAATCACAGGTCCTTCATTTGCTGATGGGGTGCAACTTAAAATGCGAAACAGCTGCAAACATCCATTAATAATCTGAACATGATATTTATGAAATACAAAATTAGGGAAACTGGAAGTTGTCAAAAATGAAACGGAAAGCACAAACGTCAATATTCTAGACACTAGTGAGCTGAAATGGATTGGTATTGGCCATTTTGAATCTGACAATCATATAGTTTACTATGCCGGGATTGATAATTGAAGATGAATGGTGTTGTATTTCGCATCAAAAAGAACATTTCAAGATCTATTTTGAAGTATAATGTCTGTGATAGGATAATATCTGTCTTGCTGTGGTGCTGTGGGTTAATGCGCTGGACTGCAAAGTTGATTTGAACATCAAGGTCAGTGGTTTAAGCTTGTAGGCACTCCTCGGAAAGCCTATGTAGGGTCTCTGTGGGTTGGAACCAACTTAACAGCACTTAACAACAGCAATAAGGATGAGCAGTTAATACCACTATTCGCATTTATGAACCAACCACTAACACCAGTGGTAATGAAATTGAAGAAAGCTACCAATATCTTCAGTCTGAAATGGAACAAACATGTAGTCAAGCTGGTGATTGAAATGAGAAGGTTGGAAACAAAGAGGAAGGATCAGTAGTTGAAAAATAGAGATTTGGTGATAGAAGTGATGCTGGAGATCACATGATTAGAATTTTGTAAGACCAATGACTTATTCATTGCAAATACTATTTTAAACAATATAAAAGATTACTGTACACATGGACCTCACCAGATGGAATACACAGAAATCAAATTGACTACATCTATGGGAAGAAACGGTGGAAAAGCTCAATATCATCAGCTAAAACAAGGCCGGAGCAGACTGTGGAACAGACCATTAATTGCTCATACGGAAGTTCAGACTGAAGCAGAAGAAAATTAAAACAAGTCTACGAGAGCCAAAATATGACCTTGACCATATCACTTGAATTTAGAGATTATCTCAAGAACAGATTTAATGCATTAGACACTAATGACGGAAGACCACAAGAATTGTGGGATGGCATCAAGAACATCATCCAGGAAGAAAGCAGATGGTCATTAAAAAGACAGGAGACCTTTTGTGGATAGCGGGGATCACGGAGCTATCGCCATGAAGGCCTCGGGCACACTTCTTGAGTACAAGGTGGTGGGGCGCTGCCTGCCCACCCCCAAGTGTAAGAAACCACCACTTAACCGAATGTGTATCTTTGCTCCTAACCACGTCCTCGCCAAGTCCCACTTCTGATACTTTGTGTCACAGCTGAAGAAAATGAAGAAGTCTTCTGGGGAGATCATGTACTGTGGGCAGGTGTTCGAGAAGTCCCCACTGCGGGTGAAGAACTTCAGCATCTGGCTGCGCTACGATTCCCAAAGTGGGACCCACAACATGTACCGGGAGTACCAGGACCTGACCACCACGAGTGCCGTCACCCAGTGCTACCGAGACCAGGGCGCTCCCATTCTATCCAGATCATGAAAGTGAAGGAGATTGCAGCCAGCAAGTGCCGCAGGCCTGCAGTCAAGCAGTTCCACGATTCCAAGATCAAGTTCCCGCTGCCCCACCGGGTCCTGCACAAGCCTCGCGTAACCACCAAGTGGCCCAACACCTTCTAGGCACAGCCCCTGCCTCCACCCCTGGTCTGCCCAATAAACGCCTCATGGGAATGACAAAAAAAAAAAAAAAAAAAGACAGGAGAGAAAGAAAAGAACATAATGGATGTTAGAAGAGACTGAGTCTTGCTCTCAAGCGTAGAGATGCCAAAACAAATGGAAGAAATGCGGAGATAAAAAAAGACTTGAACAGAAAATTTCCAAGGACAGCTTGAAAAGTCAAAGTTAAGTATTATAATGAAATGTGCAAAGACCTGGAATTAGAAAACCAAAAGGGAAGAACACACTCAGCATTTCCCAAGTTAAAGGAACAGAAGAAAAAATTCAAGCCTTGACGTACAACATTGAAGTATTTTATGGGCTTCTGGGCAACCCTATATAGTATCGCAATGAGTTGGAACCAACTCGATGACACTTAACAACAACAACATGGGCAAAATATTGAATGATGCAAAAAGCATTAAAAAAAGAAGGAATATAGAGTCACTGTACCAAAAAGAAATGGTCAACGTTCAAGAGGTAGCATATGATCAAAAACTGATGGTGTTGAAGGAAAAAGTCCAGGCTGCACTGAAGGCATTGGTAAAGAACAGGGTTTGGGGAATTGATGGACTACAGACTGAAATCTTTCAACAAACTGGTGCAGCACTGGAGGCATTCTCTTATCTATGTCAAGAAATTTGGAAGACAGCTATTTAGTCAACTGATTGTAAGAGATCCATATTTGTGTCCATTCCAAAGAGAGGTGACCTAATGAAATGCAGAAATCATCAGACAACATCTTTGATGTCCCATGCAAGTAAAACTGTATTAAAGATAATTCAAAAACAGCTGCAGTAGTACACTGATAGGGAACTGCCAGAGGTTCAAGCCAGATTCAGGCAAGGATGTGGAACGGATATCATTGCTGATGTTAAATGGATCTTGGCTGAAAGTAGATAATACCAGAAAGATGTTTACCTGTGCTATATTGACTCTGAAAAGTCTTTGGAATGTATGGATCATGGCAACCTCTGGGTAACATTGTGAAGAATGGGTATTCCAGAACACTTAATTGTGTTCATGAAGAACCTATACATAGACCAAGAGGTGGTCATTTGAACAGATTAAGGAGACTGAATGATTTAAAATCAGGGAAGGTGTGCACCAGGGTTGTGTTCTTTCACCATACTTACTCAATTTGTATGCTGAGCAAATAATCTAAGAAGCTGGATTCTATGAAGAACATGGCATCAGGATTGGAGGATGAATCGATGATACAACCTTGCTTGCTGAAAGCAAAAAGGATGTAAAGTACTTACTGCTGAAGATCAAAGACTACAGCCTTCTGTATAGATTGCATTGCACCGCAATGAGAGAAAATAAAAATCCTCACAACTGAACCAATAAGTGAAAGAAAGTATAAGTCTTTAGGGCAGAGTTCTGTGGGGGCTTGCAGCAGCCCTGCTTGCTTGTTTTCCTGTTTTGAACTGGATGTCTTGGGCAGGCCTATCCTCTGGGAACTCCAGTGCTCAGTTGGGATTTAGTTGAAAGAATATTTAAAATGACCCTTCTATCCCTAGGTTTTGTGCAAGTTCTGGTGATGGTAGGTTCCACGGGATAGTGAAAGGATGAGTGGACAGTAGAGATCTCTCCTGGACAAGCTGTGATGGATAAAACTCTTCAGTTGGCCTTTCTCCCCACTCCCTGGTTCTAATTTTACTCTCAGATGCTGTGTTGAATGCCTCTACCTCACCATCCCACACTAAGCAGGAAACAAGTGAGGAGGGGGCCCTTGGTGAGACACTAGTATGGGCAGGCAGTGGACTGAGTGGTCCAGCATCCCCTAAGCTTTCAGTTTTTTTCAAAGGAAGGCAGCAATGTTTTTTCTTTTTAATCAAAGTCTCTCTATTTGTCTGTGTTTGGCACAAAAATGTTACACCCTGCAGACCAACCAAGCGTGTCTGCAGGCTTCACCTAGCCCAGACACTGCTGCCCGTGACCTCTGCACTAGTGATTTGACAGTTTTTTGTCACCCTGACTTCTCGTCTCTCCTGGATCATTGTCCACCTGTGACTCAGTGGTTTCCCTCAAAGAAGTGATTTCCTACCGCCTTCCCTTCCTGGCTGCCCTCTTCTGGGCCCCTTCAGTATCTTGTTAGTCTGACATCTTGTTTTACAAATGATGACCCTTCCTACCACAGTGTGCTGGCTCTCAGAGTCTGTTCTGTTCAGCAGGCTAGCCATCCACCTTGTGTGTGCCATTAATATACCCTCTCGTGGATAGGATGAAAGTAAACTTCATTCTCGTCCCCTTGAGCACAGGTCTGATTTTCCTGGCATTTTCTGCAGCCCGAGCCCACAAGACCATGTTCCTAGAAGTAGTCAATGAAGGAACTCTGTCTCATGGCATGGATGGGTGCAGGTGCCACATGACAGGCCCCAGCCTCCCAGTGCCTTGGCCCACTGAGGACAGGACTGTGGTGTGACCCAGAGCTCAGGCCCCTGAGCCCCAGGCCCCCTCCTGCTGGCCATGCCCTCTTCAGCCCTGTTGTCTCCAGGTCCTTCCTACCACTGCCTGTCTCTGCCTCGGGCCTCACTGTGCAGCCTGAACTTTATATACCGCGGGGCAGATGGTGACTCATTCCTCAGCAGCCCTTCACTGATGGGGAAGTGAAACTGCAGCCCCCAGGTAGGGCCTGACCCTGGGGGACAGCGGAAGTAGTTGTGCAAATGTGGGTCTCGATACTGCCAAGAAGGGGAAGTCCTCTCAACAGCCGGTGATGAAGTGATGATGCAAGTGATGAACTAAGGGCAGGCCGGGCCTGGCCCTCATGTGGCCTCCTGGCCTGTGGCTCTGGTAACGGTTTCTCCCTTTTCCTCCTCCTGCCTTTTCTTGGTGACAGCTGGAAGTAGCAGTGGTCACAACTGAGAAAGCCAAACATTTCTACAGCCCCCAAGATGTCCCTGCCACTCTCTACAGTGATGCTGATGAATGGGAGGTCAGTACTGGAGCCCCAGGGCTGAATCCCTTGTGTTTCTGATGCCAGGACCGTCCATCCAGCCGCCTAGGGGCCTGATAGCCCGAGCAGACAGGCCGGGCTCAAGTCAGCAGGCAGGGCCCTCTGCGCCACAGGATGAGAAAAACATCTGTCTAGCTTCTGGCCTGTGGGAGGCCCACAGGCTCCTCCCACCTCAGGCAGAGCTCAGCTTTGGCCCTGAGCCCAAAGTTGAGTGTCCTTGTACTTATCTGGGCTGATGAAACCACAGAGAAGCTCTGTTCCCACCCCCTTGTCCACATGGCTCCCAGTGCAGGACTGTGAGGAAACGCCGCACTTCCCACGCCACCTAGCTCTGCATCTGCTCTCCTGAAGAGGGGCGGCCACCAGCCAGGGCACCAGACATCGAGTGTGGGCCTCACAGGGGTGCCCTGCCAGGCGTTGTTAAACATTCTCAGCCCTAGAACATTTCTGGCTGGACTGTCTTCCCCACCCCACCCCCTTCACTTCTCACCCCCATGAGTGCTTCCATTGGTTTGGACAGCCTCAGCGTCCGCCTCAAGCAGACAGGCCAGGAGCTCCCTGCCAGATGTCCGTTTTCTTGAAAACCAAACCATAAAGGGACTAGCGGGAGAGACAAGGGGCGTTTGTTTCCTCAGGCCTGGTTTCTTTCAGGCCCTTGGCACCACAGCCAATGCCCGCCTGCTTTACTGCAAGGGAGGACAGCGGTTGACTTGGGCAGCGGTGTGGGTCAGGTGTGGCTCCCTTGAGTGCCTGACTTGTACCTAGTCTGCTTTGCCCCCCCCCCCCTCCTCGCCTTCTTTCCACCACCACTGTGTGTGTCTCTGTTTCCCTTCTTCTGCCAGAGGTGGAAATGCCGTTCGGATCCAGTTCTCCACATTGACCTGCGGAGGTGGGCGGACCTCATGCTAGTGGCGCCTCTGGATGCTAACACTCTGGGAAAGGTGGCCAGTGGCATCTGCGACAACTTGCTTGTGAGTGACCGCCTGGTGCCCCTCTCCCCTCCCTGGGCCTCACTCCCAGTTTTCTGACCTGCTAATTCCTTGGACAAGGTTCTTGCCTTGGAAACTTGTAACTGTGGGACCGTGATTTGCTCAGCGAGTTCTCGAGCCCCTCCTTAGCCTCCCTCTCCCAGACTGCACCTTACCTATTCCTTGGCAAGTAGGCCAGCAGACCTGGTCCTGAAGGTGTTGCTGTCTGGGGAGCACCCACCTCTCATCTGCCCCTTAGCCATCAGCCTGGCTAAGCTCCTTGGTTTCTCCCTTTGCCTTCACTCATTGCTCTTCCTGCCTGGCCCCACTGCCTCCCCTCTGAAGCTCTGCCTTCTCAGTGGGCTCTGGACAGACTCATATGCAGTGTGGGAATGGTGGTACTTCTTGGAGGAAGTAACCTCCACGCCTGCCTCTCTCGTCATTTTTGTCACATCCACAAAACTGAGATGCAGTTCTCCTAGATTCAGGGAAAACTTCGCAGGAGAGAGGAGAGAGAAAAGGTGAGAGACGAGAGCTGATGGTGGAGGAGAGACCGAGAAGTCCAACTGTGCAAAGTGAGGATTGTCTTAGGCCTAAGGGACCTCAGGGAACAGCTGCCCTGAAAGATGAACTGCCTTTGTTTATATAGTCCTCCTGGGATGCTTTGAGTGTATTGGCTCTCCTCTCTCCTTCTCTTTCCATCCCCCGTCCGGGTTGTTAAACTCTCATCTACCATATGCTGGGCCCTATGCTGAGGGACACAGCTACACAGGGCGCTCACAGTTCAGAAAGAAAGGGATTGGGTCACCTGTGCAGGTGGGAAGCACCCGTGAGCCAGGAGCATGCTCTGGTGTGTGGAAGAGTCCTGATGCCCACAGTGAGCAGGCCTCTTGGTCCTGTGTCAGTGTAGTTGGTGCTTCACACAGTGCTGGGCACGCTGAAGCCATTCAACAAAGCATGTAGTATATATGAGGTCATTAGTAGTTTTACGTTTGCAAACAGACAGGGCTTCTACTGAGTTTAATATGCTGAAACAGGTAAATAATGAAGCAGGGTCAGGATACTTTGGGGGGTCAGACATAAGATTTGTTGTTCTTTGGTGCCATCAAGTCCATTTCAACTCACAGTGACCCTGAAGGACAGGGTCACCTATAGGGTGACCTGAACTGGAATCTGTACATAAGCAGAGTACAGGTCTTTTTTTCCTAGGGAACCACGTGGTGGGCTTGAACCACCTTTGGTTAGCAGCTGAGCACTTAACCATTGTGCCACCTGGGCCCTTAAATAGGAGATTAGTGCCCTCATCTGTTTGTTAGCAGGCTCTTAAGGCACTTCTTGAAGAACCTGCTAGTGATTCAAACATTGTTTTAGTTAGCACACAGGTGCCCAGAAGAGCCACACAGATTGTGAGACGGGTAGGGGGCACAGGAGGGAGATCCTGGAGGGCACAAGTCCAAGATGGGCTTCTCAGTGGAGCTGTGCCACCCCTGACAGGGCTGCTGGAACAGGTGAAACTCCCAGCCACTGCCATCTTTATGGGCCATTGCTTTTTGTGTCCAACACCAGCTCACCAAAACTCGCGGCTTTGCACATGCTGGTCAGGGCCTCTGGGAGGTGAGCCTCTGCCTGCTTTGGCTCTCTGAGGGTTTCTTCCTTTCTTCCAAAAGTTCTGCTCCTCTTTGTTCTTCAAAGCTCCACCACACCCTGTAACTGTGGTGTTCCTTCCTCTGACTTGACTGAGGGACACTGTCTTAGTTCTCTAGAGTTGCTGTAACAGAAATACCACAAGGGGATGACGTTAACAAACCGAAGGTTCTTCTCTCACAGTTCAGGAGGCTCGAAGTCTGAAGTCACAGTGCTGGCTCTAGGGGAAGGCTTTTCCTCGTGGCTCTGGGGAGAAGTCTTTGTCTCCTTTCGGCATCTGTAGACCTGGCATTCCTTGGAGATGTCCATGTGTCTTGACATCAGTCAGTCTTCCCCTGGATCTAGGAGTTTCTCAGGGCAGGGACCCCCGATCCAAGGATGCCCTCCACTCCCAGCTGTTCTTTCTTGGTAGTTGGCCCTTTTCTTTCTGTTCACTTCGCTCTCCTTTTATCTCTTGTAAGATAAAAGGTGTTACAGGCTACACCCCAGGGAAACTCCCTAACAGGGACTGTGACAGAATTAAAGGGGCTGAATCCTCCCCTTGGGAGCGTGGTGACTCTGGAGGATAAGCACTGAACTGCAAACCACAAGGTAGGTGGTGTGAGCCCGTCAACTGCTCATCAGGAGAAAGATGAGCCTTTCTGCTCCTACAGAGAGTTACAGACTCAGGAATCCTGTGCAGGGCTACTCAAGTTGGAGTCGACTGGATGACACGTAGCAACGGCAGCACCCTACACTTAATCTTATTGGCTTATCCCATCAGATCACATCATGGGGGATCATCACATAACTGCCACAGTACATATTATACACAGCTGCCAAACCACTGAGATCATGAGCCAGCTAAGTTGACACATATTCCTGGGGTACGCAGTTTAATCCATGACAGAAATGCTCTCAAGACACTCACCAGCCATTTGCCTTTAAGGGTTTTTCTTGAAGGCACAGTTTCAAGGCGTCTCAAATCTTATCAAGTCTGTCTGTACTGCATCATCCTTGGTATGTGGCTCTGTCTTCTCTCAGTAGATGTTTTCTCCTGGTGTCACTATAAGGGTGCCCCCCCTGCTTCCTCCTTCATACCCTCAGATCTTCTTCCTTTCCAGTGCTCACAACTGGGGGTGCTGTAGAGCTGTGCGCTTGGTGTGAACCTGGGCGGTGTCCATCACCATGAGCATTCGGGCCCACTCAGGCCCTGGCCCTGATAAGCTAGAATTGGAGGTGATTCCCCTGAGTCCCCATCTGGCCCTGCCCAAGCGGATTCCTAAGGCTCTGGACCCAGCACTGGCCAAACAACTGACCGTGGGAACTAATACCCTCCTGTCATCCCTTCTGCTGCCCATCAGGTCCAAGGGGCTGTGGTCAGGCCAAGAAGCTCTGAGTTCTAAGATGAAGTGGAAAAAGCAGGGCACGAGGTGCTTGAGTCTTTGCCGTGGTTGATGTGCTTTGCTTTGCGGGCATCTAGAAACCCCACGTGCAGTCTAGGCATGCTCACAATTTCTGCAGAAGCAGCAGGTGTTATAGGGCCAAGAGGAAGTGTGACTGAAACCGTCTTTCCATAGGCCTGTTGCAGTATTGAGAGGGCTTGGTAGGAAACAAGTACTGGTATGGGATGATGCAAGCTGTCAGATCCCAAGGCTGTTTGCTGCCCCACTTCCTCCCTGCCCCCAAGAGACGGCAGGTATTGGCTCTGGCCTGCAGGTGGCATTGTTCTCTGGCCTCTCCCTGTCCTTTTCCCAGATGGGCTCCACTTCAGAGGAATGGTGTTCTAGTGCCTGTCTCCCTGAGGAACCCCAGGCCAGGAGGAGGTTCCTGGAGCAGGTAGAGCCCAGGGCACTCACCCCTGTGGGCTTAGAGTTTATTTCTTCCCAGGCAGCCCCCAGCCCAGAGAGCTCGTGCCTGTAGTCATACAGTAGCCAGAGCAGCCATTTCTTGAGCCCTTTATGAATAAGCATTTACAAAAGTGCTAAGGCCTTTATCACCACATTCCCCTCCATTCTCACAACCCCCCTGCACCGGGGTCTTGTGCAGAGAGGAAGCAGAGGCTATCCAAATTCTCACAGCTGTTAAGAAATAGTCTAGCAGGGTTTGAACACAGGTCTGTGTGATTTCAGGGCCCTGGGTTTTCATCCTTGGTGCCAAGGGCTCAGGGATGGTCAGACTGTTTTCTGCTTTGTGATTCAGAGTGATGGTCAGAAGACCCGAGGGCTGCGAGGCTGCCTGCTGAGGTGGAGGGAGCCCGCACAGCCTTTGCAGCCTCTCCCCAATGCCTGTGTGTGGCTTTGAGGACCTCGCCTCTTAAGCAAGCTGCAGCTTCCCCATCTGTGACTCGGGGACAGTACCTTCCTTACATGGTCACAATGTGGGTTTGTGAAATGATATAATTGAAAGAGCTGTTGTCAGGCTTTGTTTGGCCTAGAAGTAGAGCTGATGTTTGGGGCAGATGGGGCCCCCACCTGATGAGCAATCTGGTTCTTAGATAGTTTCCGGTGAAGTGCAAAGTCTGCCCTCTGCTCCCCAGGGTTGCCCTACCCGACACGTGTCACCCTTTCAGCCTGGGAGAGAAGGTTGGCTCAGAGGAGGCTGGTTGAATGTTGGCTGACCCCCTCATCTGATGTCCGTGGAAGGTGGAAAGAGGGCAAGGGGACACAGCCTCCACCCCTGGAGGGACCAGAGGCAGCTCCCTGCAAACAGACAGCTTGCCACATTCCAAGTCTACATCTGGGGCTGCTGGCTGTGGGGCCGAGGACAGTGGGTGGGATTCGGAGGGCTGGTAAGGAGTGGCAGGCAGAGAGCACAGGACACCTGCCCTGCCTCTCCTTCCCAGACCTGTGTCATCCGGGCCTGGGACTGCAGCAAGCCCCTGCTCTTCTGTCCTGCCATGAACACCACCATGTGGGAGCACCCCATCACTGCGCTGCAGGTCAGCCAGCTGAAAGCTTACGGCTACGTGGAGATCCCCTGTGTGGCCAAAAAGCTGGTGTGTGGAGACCAAGGTGAGCACCTTGCCAAGTCACAGTTCATTCTCACAGCCCGCGGCTGAGGAAGGACTCGCTTTGGGGTCAGATCTACATTGCAGGCCTGATCTGTAGCGACCTCAGGTAAAAGGGTTCTCTGAACTCAAGTTTTTTATCTGGAATATGGGATTCCTAATATGGCATCTTAGAATAAATGCTGGACCTCAAGGTCAGTGGCTCAAACTTACCACCCACTCCTCAGAAACACGATAGAGGGTCGCTATGACTTGGATCAGACTCGAGGACACTTAACAACAACAGCAATATCTGGTGTGGTGATGTGTAGGATAAGCACTGGACTGATAACTGCAAGGTCAGCCATTTAAACCCACCGGCTACTCCTTGGAAACCCTATTGTTAAGGTGACATCGAGTCATTACCGACTCATAGCAACCTTATGCATAACAGAATGAAACACTGCCTGATCCTGGGCCAACCTCACAATTGTTGCTACGTTTGAGCACATTGATGCTGCCACTGTGCCAATCCATCTTGTTGGGGGTCTTCCTCTTTTTCTCCTACCCTCCACTTTATCAAACATGATATTCTTCTCCAGTGACTGGTTCCTCTGACAGTATGTCTAAAGTATGAAAGATGAAGTCTGGCCACTCTGGCTTCCAAGGAGCCTCTGGCTGCACTTCTTCTAACACAGATCTATTTGTTCTTTTGGCAGCTCATGGTTCTTTCAGTATTCTCCTCCAACACCGTACGTCAGATGCATCAATTCTTTTCCAGTCTTCGTTATTTACTAAGAAACCCTTATACAGGGTTGCTATGAGTTGAGCTGGCTCAAGGGCACTTAGCACCACCACCACCATCAGCAGCAACAGCAGTCTCTCCCTAAGGAGCCTTGGTGACATACTGGGCTGCTAACTATTTAAGGTCAGCAGTTCTAGTCCACCAGGTGCTCTGAGGGAGAAACATGAGCTGTTCTGCTCCCATAAAGATTTTCAGCGGAGTTGTTAGGATTAAGTGACACACATACATAAAGCACTTACACACAGCCATATACAGTTGGAGGGGCGGCTACCTGATTATTCCTTGGGCCTGTGTTGGTGGTACCTCAGACGAGATTTGCTGGGGTCTGAGCTCTGGTGGAGTACTTGGAGGAGCACTCTGGGGGCTGCAGGCTTCATTGGCTGGTGCAATATCTGCTATAGTTGAACTTTGTTCCCTAGGTCTGGGTGCCATGGCTGAGGTCAGAACCATTGTGGACAAAGTGAAAGAAATCCTCTCTCAGCACGACAGCTTCCAGAAGAGTTGAACCAGGATTTCTAGTCAGTGTGGCCCTCTGCCCACAGCATTGGTGAAGAAGGCTGGCACAGTATGGTGAAGATTCCTCTTGAAGATACTCTCTTGTGCTGAGGAAGGGTCTGGTCTGGAACCTCCTTAGAGGACTGTCCCACCCCAGGTTAAACTGGGCCAAAGGCCTAAGTCCGAATTTCTTTCAACTAAAAGGTGCCCACTGGAGCTGCTCCGCATCTCCTGGGATGAACATAGCAATCCGAGCAGCCAGCTGCCGAGGGCTCGACTGTGTCCTGTGCCCCTAGAAGGAAGGACTGTGTGATTGTGGAACCTTGATTCTTTTTTTTTTTAAAGCTTTTTATTGTGAATTGAGAGCGGACCATCAGGCCCACAGTCAACAAATCAGACACTTTGTTTCATTACAGTGATTGCAATGGAACCTTGACTCTTCATCTCACCCTGAAACTGCTTTTAGAAATAGCCACAGCTGGAGCTCCCCAGCATGGTAGACCCGGGACTATATGGACCTTTGGAGCTTCAGCTCTCTGGTACCATATAGTCAGAGTTGACAGGAGCCTGCGATTTCCACAGACCATGCTGTGAGGTTGGGGCTCTGAGAAATAAAGGAAAAGAGCCTTTAAGAGACTCCGGCTTTCTGTATGGCCTGTCTGTGGTCTCAGAGATCAGAAGGTGATGCGAAGTAGGTCAGGGGAAGGGTTTGGGCTGACAACTGACCAGCACTCTTTGGCCCCCATTTAGCATGGTGGTTAAGAGCACAGAATTCTAAAACCAGATAGCCCCAAGTTCAAATCCCAACTCTGCCACTGACTAGTAGTGCGACCTTTGGCTCCTGGTTTAGCTTTTCTGACCCTTACCTTTTCTTATCTGTATTGTAATCTTTGCCTTGTCTGGCATTTTGAGATTTTAAATGAGATAATGTATACAAAATACCCACCATACATCGTGCTATAGGGAGTCCTGGTGTGGCACTGTAGGATAAGCACTGGACTGCTAACTGCAAGCTTGGCAGTTCAAACCCACCAGCTGCTCCTTGGAAACCCTAAACAGAATTGCTATGAGTGGGAACAGACTCTTAAGGCACATAGTGCTTAACACGGTGTTGTTAACTGCCTACCTTGTGGTTCACAGTCCAGTGCTAATCCTATAGCGCTGCACCAGTTAATGTTAAATAAATGCAAGTTAAAGCTAGATGTATCTAGGGACCATGAGCTTTCCAACACATATACCAAATAGTCACAGGCTCATTTGGGGAAAAATGAAATCTTGCCCTAGTGGATATGACCTTGATGCACAAACACATATGCACATATACACACACAAAGCCCATAGGACTAGCCCTGCCCTGGAGCCCAGGCCTCCTCTCTTGTCCTTCCAGCTTTGCTGTGGGTTAATGTGCTGGACTGCAAAGTTGGTTTGGTCCGCATGGTCCGAGGTTCAAGCTCACCAGTCAATCCTTGGAAACCCTATACAGGGTCACTATGGCTTGGAACCGACTTATCGGCTTTTCACAACAACCCCCAACAATAACACGGGCAGGGGAAATGGCTTCCCAGGATTGAAGGGAGACTGCTCTCTGGCTTAGAAAACTTGCAGCCACCCAGCTTCTGACCTAATTGCTTTTTTTGGTGGCCTCAGTGGTGGAGGGTCTTGTACGCCTATTTTAGAGCTGAGGTTGGGGCTGCTTCCTGATCCCAGGCCAGGCTTGGGTGGGTGCTCCACATGCTCTAAGAGAATTTAGTAGAAGTGCTATTTAGGAAACCTGTGGCTGGAACCAAGGCCTCCACCCAGCCTCCAAGAACCTCTATCTTGACTGCTCTCAACTTAATCAAGTGACTTTTGGGCATAAAATTGTCATAGGGCACTAAAGAAAATGTAACTAAAATGGGAGCATCAAGAACCAACCTCTGGCTGGTCTGGGTGTTCCTGGTATGGAGAGAGTCTGACTCCCTGAACTCCAGAGACAATCCCAAGTTACATTTCAGTAGTTTAAAACTTCCCTTCTTCCTCTCCCTCAGTAACCTGCTAATGAATGGTGAGACTACCACTTCCTGAGTGCTTTCTGCGGGCCAGCCTCTGTGCTAGGTAGGCGCTTTAGGGAGGCTAGTTTCCCGGAGACCAGGTACAAAATGCCCATTTAAAAGGCTGCAGTGGGCCATGGGAGCAGAGATGTTTGCAGGCCCCTGGTTGGTACCTTTGAAAACAGTTGTAGCACTCTGCATTAATCATTGGGCTGTTAACCACAAGGTTGACAAGTCAAACCCATCAACCTCTCCAAGGGAGAAAAATGACGCTGTCTGTGCCTATAAAGGTTTATAGTCTCAGAAACCCCAACCTGTTAGGGTTACTGTAGGGGAATAACTCAATGCCAGTGGTTTTTTGTTTGTTTGTTTTTGGTGTTTCTCAGAGCAACATAGAGCTCCTGACTAGAAGAACAGATGTCTCTAGACCTGGAGGCTCCTACACTGTCTTCCAGTTAGACTGTCCTGCCATCCCTATTTCTAACCTTGTGGTCAGGGGAGGTTCGGTTGCATGAACAGACATGGACTGGGATTGAAGGACCCAGTTGTTCCCTGAGCCAGGTAGGAGCTAAAAGGACAGGGCTGCTAGAGTCCATGTTGCATTAGCTGCATTGACCTGGCTTCCTCAGCCAGGGGCTACAGCTGTGGGGTCTTAACCATGGCTGTCCCCACTAGCAGTCAGAACTCTTATAATTGTCATCATCTTGTGGGGGGATGTTTCTTAGAGAAAATGCAATCTTCCTTGATGATTTGTTTGGCATTCTAAAAGTACAAGGGGGTTTCACCAAAGTAAATGGGAAAAATTCCATTACCTTTGAATACCATTTTTCCACGAAGTTTTTGAAATCCCCTCATATGACAGAGAAAGAATATTTTGACAAAATAATAAATTTCGACTTGCTTTTGACAAGGAATCCTGGTGTGGCACTGTGGGTTAATGCACCAGACTGCAAAGCTGTTTGAACTGCAAGGTCGGCGGTTCAAGCTCACCAGCTGCTCCTGGGAAACCCTATACAGGGTCGCTATGGGTCAGAAGCAACTCGATGGCACTTCACAACAACAACAACTTACTTTTGACAAAGCAGAAAGGCCAGAGTTACACTTGTTTGGCAGCCTGGAGCATCTCTGTGACTCATGGCTGTTGGAGAATGTCTCCAAGCCAGGGCCTTGTCTCCTCACTGCCTCAGGGTAAGGTCCTAACTCCTGGGCTGTACACACCAGGCACGTGGTCTGGCCTTTGCCTATCTTTCTGTTGTTGGTAGCTGCTGTTGACTCCATACACGGCATAACGGAGCACTTTCTGCTCCTGCACCATCCATGATTGGTGGTGGTTGGGTTTCAGGCCCAGAAAGGAAAAGCCTCCTGAGTATATAGGTGCTGACCAGAACTCATCCCATGAGACATTAGTGTGTTATACAAAAGAGAATAAAGGAGATGGTTTACCTACAAGGGAATTTATGTACGAAGGGCAAAACACTCCTATGTCCAGTGGCTGCCAGCTGGATCATGAAGTTTACTGTGCAAGGGATGGGGCTAGGATTTTTTTTTTTTTTTTTTAATATTACTGGGTAGTCACAAGTATAAGGGAAGTTAAGGGTGGTATGTGGAACCAGGAAAAGGTAGGAAAATCACAAGGTGTTGTGCTGTCTGTCCCCTCCTAGAGAACAAAGTTTTGGGAGTAGGGCCTTTGGGCTTCTTCATAGCATGTTGTTGTTAAGTCTCCACATGCCCTGAGATTTGGGTAGAAGTGTCCTAGAGGAAACCCTGTGGCTGGAACCAAGGCCTGAACTCATAGCTACTCTATGTAGGGTTTCCAAGGGACAACTGGTGAGTTTGAACCGCCAACTTTGTTCAAACTGACCTTGTGGTCCAGTGCATTAACCCGAAGCGCCACACCAGGACTCCTTGTCAAAAGTAAGTAGACACTTATTATTTTGTTAAAATAACTAAAGCTGGGGAACAAGCTAGCAGGAGCAGCGGGAAGGGCTAGGTCAATGTGACCTTGGAGTGGCCATTTGGAGCTCTGTGTTCTCACAGTTGTCGAGCAGGCGCTTGTGATCCAGGGGGTTTTCATTGGCTGATTTTCAGAAATAGATCTCTAGGCTTTTCTTCCTAGTCTGGAAGCTCCACTGAAGCCTGTTCAGCATCTTCCCAACACACAGGCCTCCACCCACAGACAGGTTGTGGCTGTGCATGAGACGCATTGACTGGGTCTGAAATCTCTCCAAACCAAACTCACTGCCACTGAGTTGATTCCAACCCACCGCTACCCTACATAGGGTTTCTGAGATTGTAGATCTTTATGAGAATTGACAGCTTCCATTTTCTCTTGTAGGAGAGTTGGTGGGTTTGAACTGTCAGCCTTTCTGTTATCATCCTCCACCACCAGGGCTCCTTTGGGTGTCCCACACAGAAGACAAACATTCTATCAGTGACTCATCACTGTCCCTTGCCTACCTTTCTAGCCACCCCCTACACCCTCCCTTGATCACACACCAACCTGCAGAGCTTCCTGTCCTCGTGCCAGATGATGCAGCTTTGAAGGACCCACCTTGCTTTCTTGTTTTCTGCCTTTGCACGTGCTGCCGCCTTTACTGAAAGCTATTCTTCAGCTGGCTGATCCTGCAGGCTGTTGCCTCTGAGTGTGCCTGGATGTCACCTCCTGTGGGAAGACTCCTGGTTGGATTAGATGGCCCTTGCCCAGGTTCCCGTTGTACCTCCTGCTATGTGTTTGTTACAACCTCAGACTTGTTATGGTCCGTTTACTTCATGTTCCCCTGAAATTGGTATCTCCTGGAGGGCAGGAGTTGTTCTGTTCCTGAGTCATTCCAAGCTTGTTGGACTGATAAAAATGGGTGTCAGGATGTCCTGTTCTTTTCTGAGCAAAACATAAACCTAGGAGCTATAAAAGCAAAAACTGCTGAAAGTTGATTAAAGAAAAATGGAACTGTTCTGCCTAGCAATAGCCCATATACAAGGT